TGATCTCAGACAACATTCTTGTCACATGGAATTATGGGCCAGCATCCACGCAGTAGACAAATATGATACCATTAGTGAAGACATAGGTAGTGGACATCATGAAATTATAATTTCAGATGAAGACATAGTGGAAATATTTATGCATTGTCTTATAAATTCCATTTATCAAAGACCCTATGCAAGTGAGGAAGAAAAGCTCATCTTTAATTTAAAGTTTCAGTTCTGTAGTTAAAAATGGTATAAGTGCAAGTTTGGAGCTTCTTCCAGGTTAGCTACTATCAGTATCAGGAAATATGGCTTATATTCCTACATGGACTCTTGCAGTCCCCCAAAGAGGTTTCCTCCCCCATTTGTTACTTACCTTAGCCTGTCAGAGCTAAGAGATACTTAGGGAGTATTATTGAAAATCAATGAATAGAAATTCTTAGTATTTGCAGGCCTCATTTTCTCTGTGTTTAATTATGTTCTTTAGTAAATTGGAAGTTAAGTACCACCTTAGTGAAATACAGTTGAATAGCTAGGGCGATTTGGTATCTTTTGTTTCCCCCAACCATTCTGAATAGTAGCAGGCAGAAAATGTTAGTACTGAGATAAGCTGTCTACAGATGTGGAAATGGGGTTGGAAAAGGCACTAAGATGAAAAGCATTGAGGTGTGTTTGTAAGAGCTTGACAAATAGCTAATTTGGGAAACCTGAAAAAAAAATCTTTGAGGAGTTAAAATTAGATAATGTAGATTTATATTCACCCAGGTGTGTGACCAATTCAGCAACGTTCTGTGGGTGGAAAAATAGAGGGGATAAAGTGGAAAGACACAAATAAGTCATACTTGGGAGTTGAGAAAGTGAAAACAGTGAACAATTTTGGCCTGGTTTGAGTCCAGCAAATGTTTTGGAATTGAACTGTAAGTAAAAGCAGTTTACGTTGTGAGAAAAGAAGGAACATGCTATGTGATTATCATTCTAGCAGGATGTGTTAATACATAGTTGCATTAAAAGATGAGTTGAGATAATCTAACTTTTTAAATCTTCCTTAACTTAATTTATCCTTCAGAGAAAAACATCCTTGATAATCTTTTGTAAACAATTTGACTTCTTGCATATTCATAGAGCTAGTTATGTGTTCTGGAAAATGTGTTACAGCTTTGGCAAAAGAATACATGTAAATACAACTGTTCATTTTTAACTGAACATTTTCTATTGCTTTTTGGAAGTGAAAAGAGAAAACTGAGTTTGGCATGATCATTAATTTAATAGAAATCAGATAAACATTGCTCACCTCATTCTAACAATCAAATATTCATTCTTTAATAAGAAATGAGAATATTTTAAGGTTGTTTGTCAAGAGTAAATTATAGAACTTGCCCTTGACGATTTAATTTTAACTTTTGCCATTTGACCACATGGATAAGCTCTATTATTCAGTATAAGCCAAAGCCTACAATTCACCAACTTACTTCTTAGGGATGGGAATTCAGACATAGTCTGTTTATTTTTGTGGAAGACTGCTACAGAAAATATTTTAAGAAAGAGTGCTTAAATTAATTTGTTTCTAATTATTACCTAGAAAAATTTACATAGATTCACTAAAAGCCTGTTCTAGTGACTCTCCCATTGCTAGGAAAAAATACCTGATACCCACAAGTCAAAGGAAGAAGGTTTTATCTTAGCTCACATTCTATAGGTTGGAGTCTATCGTCCACGAGCATCAGTACGGGGCATCATGGCAGAAGAGAAATGGTCCATGACATGGCATGACATGGCATGCTTTTCCCTTATCACTCCATCCAGGCTACGACCCTGTGGGTGGGTCTTTCTTTATCTGTCCGTCACCCGCATGTAGAACTATACTACCCCAATCAGCAGACTGGTCTAGAATTGCACACCCATGATCCGGTTACTCTCACCCATAGAGCACATGAGGATGTGGAGGGAGGTCCAGATGGAAGGAATGATTTGGAAGAATAAAAAATTGAAGAGTTTTTTTTTTTTTTTTTTTTTTTTCGGAACCGGGGATTGAACTCAGGCCCTTGCGCTTGCCAGGGAAGCGCTTATTCCACTGAGCCATCTCCCCAGCCCAAAATTGAAGAGTTTTAAAAGCTCTAATCTAGGCATAAATGGAGGATAATGCATTGTGATATCTTCTGCACCAATCAAGTCTGGGTTTGAGGAGAACATCCCTTCCTAGTCCTTTGGAATATATTTCTTAGTTTTTCACTCACACCATCACAAAGGGGTGTGGCCAAAGGCAAAGGAGTTGGTATTTAAGATTAAGAATTCTGAGTGTTGAAATTGCAAAATATGACAGTGAAAATCAGTAAGTGCTTGTACAGTTTGGTACCATTGACTGGAGTCATGCTTAGGTGCAAAGAATTTTAGCCTTGTTACTTGGCATGATTAAATTTCAACATAGTGAAAAGAGGCAAATAAGATCTTAATACTATTGCAACCTATTAAAATACTGTTTCCATTTTAAAATACCGAATAAGGAATTAAATTACTTGGTAATTTAATATAGTCAACCTTAGTGAATAACTATATGAAATGAGATGAACATTTATATTACATTTATAAAATAACATAATTAATTATGTGGTTGTGAGAATATAGAGCAACTAAAAGTTGCAATTTGATGAAGGAGTAAATTTTAGCCACTTTGGAAAATAAGTTGATGTCACTAGTATTAAATAAGATAAACATAAATGATGAGTTAATCCAATATGTGGGTAGCCCTTGAGGTCTTTCACATATAAACTTGGTTGTAGAAAATAAGCAAAAGCCAAGCAGACATGAAAATGAATATCCAGCTTCTAGGAAACTGCCAAAAATTCACAAGAAAAGAAACAAAGCCCAAACAAAATCTTGTAGATAAATGCATAATGAAATCTCATACAGCAGTAAAATGAACCAACTATGGTCATTAAATCTCAGGAACACAAAGTTGAGGAATACTGATAAAAAGTAATAGAAACTGTAAGAATCCTTTTATTTGAATAAAGTTTAAAATATTGAAAACTAAAATCTTTTAAAAGGAATTACATACCTTTTATAAGTCTATCTGGGAATTCAAGACAACAATAAAAATTAAATTCTGGGTTACTTCTCAAATGAATGCCATTTGTCCACATGGATATTGCTGCATAGTAGCATACATACTGAAATGCTTTAGTTCTAAAACTCTGGGTGAGTATGTTAGTGTTGTTTCAGTTTTTCAACTTGTAGTACACTATGGACATTTTCTTTTGTTTCTTAATCAGTAAAAACAATGTAAAAATTTTTAAGTGTCAACATCAAAGGAAGGAAAAGAATTACCTTTATAATTATGGACTATGCACTAACAATTTTAGCGCTATAAATAATTTCACACTATGATTTTACCTTGAGTAAAAATTAATCCACAAACAGAAATGAGTATGAAGTGAGCATAAAAATGTTAAATAAGGCTATCTTCTTCTTTGTTTTTGTACAGTGGCATTTGATAAAATAAATTACTTATGAACAAAAGTTGAGCATCTATAGAAGTTTATTTCCAAGGAAACTCCTAGTACCTTCTTTCTGGAATATTTTTTTGTCCAAGTCTTTGGCGCCACATGCCATGCCCACCCTCAGGCTCACTGAGCTAGCCAGCAAGACCTGGGGTGATGGCAGACACCTGTATTTCCAGCACTGGGGAAGCTGATAAGTGAGACCCTGTACCAAATACATAAAAAAAATTAAAAAAAAGAGGAATAATATTTTCTCACAGTTAATGAGAAACATTAATGTAACACCGTAGAGTAGAATTTAAAAAATTCATTAAATGTTAAATATTAGTGTGATAATTTATTATTGTTACTTTGTGTAATATTTTATATTTAAGTTCATTTTAAAATCTTTTCATTTACATTAATAATTCATTCTATGATAGTGAATCTACAACTGGGCCAGGGATATAGCTCAGTGATGCAGTGCCTACCTGGCAAGCACTTAGTTTGATTCCTGGTACAACGCCCCCAAACAAACAAACAAAAAACGAAAAAGAAAATGGAAATAAAGATCAAAACAGAGCCTCTTAAATCTATGATAGTTAGAGTTTTATCATTTTCCCACTGTTCTCATCTTGTCAAAATTTCTTTTTGAGGGCTGGCGGTATAGCTCAGCAGACTAAGTGCTTGCTTAGGTAAAGCACAGTGCCCAGGGTTAGGTCCCTGGCTCTGCAGGCTGCACTGGCCCAGACCCCGGTGCACTGAGCCAGTGAATGGAGTCTGGGTGTGGTGCTGCACACCTGTAATCCAAACATTAGGGAGGCTGAAATCAGGAGGATCACTACAAGTCTGGGCTGCGCAGTGAGAGGGACAACAAAAAAGAAAAAAGCTAAAAAAAGAAAAAAAATTCCTTTCCCTTAAATTTTCAATGCTTATTAATAAGAACATCTGTTAATGGGAAAATGAATGGGAAATGTTTCTTATTCATACAGCTGTTGGGGACTTCAGCCTGTAACATACATAGCAGAACAAAGAATTATGTCTGCCATCGGACGTTCATTGTTTACAATGGAAGACAAAATTTTTAAAACTTACACTGAAAATCAGCTATTTTAAATGTAGAAAGAAGAGTATTACATATTGACTTGAAAAATTTCCCTAAATTAAATAAACTAATACTTGAAAGATTTTGTAATTACTTAAGATAGTTGTAATGCATATAACCATGTTCTTTAGACCAAAAATATTTCATATATAATAACTTCTAGGGCCAGAGAGATAGCTCTATAGAATAAGCACTTGCCTGGCAAGTGCAAGGTCCTGAGTTCAATCCCCAGTACTTCAAAAAAGCCAAAAAAACAAAAACAAAAAAACTTCTAAATTTAGCATGCCAAATGCAACAGTGCTAAGGTATTAAAAAAGGATATATTGATAAAATGACAAATTATTTCAGAACAATGCATTTCTCCTGTTGGGAGAAAAAAATTCTTATAAATAAATTTTGTACAATTTGCAGTCATAAAATGTTTCCTTGTCCAGAAAACATAGTGGTATGGATGGAAGTCAGTACCACCCTGATGATTCGCACAACATAGCTGTTCATGTGAGAAAAGCGCATGGTGGCTACACTTTGTACGGACAAATAGGATCTGCAGAAACTTTTGAAGAATTTCTACATATCTTAAAGAAACTGTAAGTATTTTTAAACATGTTACTACTTTATCTCAGAATAGATTTTATTTTTAAAGAAAAGAAATTAGTTATTTGCAGATAAGTGCTATGTCGTTTTTTATGTGCTGTAGTAGTGATGTAGAGGTGGTAAACCCCTGGCACATGTGCCACAGCTGGCTGTTAATTATAAATTTGGAAGCTCTAAAAGGTTTGCCATCACTATATTAGTGGTAGATTCATGAAAGCTTGGGAACTTTGTTCCAGCATGAACACAGTTTTAAAGAATTCATTATTCATAATATGTCTTAAATATACTGAATATACATGTATATATATTATAATCTAATCTATCTATCTAAACTTTATGGCTATCATTTCAAGTTGTAAGCAAAATATGTGCTATATGATAATATTAGATCAAATTATGCTTGAGATTTCATTAGCTTTTGACTACTGAAGGCTTTTCGTAG